TGTTTATGCCCAAGGACATTTAATCACTTTTACAAATTAAACAATATGTTATTATCTAATTACCGGCGTTCTTTATGTTCATGTCATCAAAGCATTTCATTAATTTTTCACTGTATCACTTTTACTCATTTTCAACACCTGTCATTTTTAACTCATTGACCATTTTCACATAAATACGATTGTCAAATTTTACTTTAAAGTTCGGAGGTCGTGTGTACTACCGGCCACACGTCCGACTCGTTCCCCCATCATGCTGTAACTATTTTAACATTTAACAGTTTGGAGGCTACGGCCATATCCAACTGGTTATTGTTATTCCATGTTTGTTATTTCCATCGTTGGGACTTATTGTTAATAAATTCGGAAACCATACCATATTCCTCGACATTTGGACTTTTATATGTGTCATCAGTAAGAGTCCTTGGAATACGGCTTTACTACTTCCGGCCAACGACGCCACTCACTTCCCCAGCCAACATTCCCTCTTGCCCGATCTACGACACATCTTCTAGACCCAAACTAAATACATGTAACTCTGGCACGTCTGAACTTCATAAGCGACTTCTGTGCTTCGCAATTCCTATTTATATTACAGGTTTGATAGTCAAGTTGAAGAAATAATCTAAGATTTAAAGCAATGAATCAAACTTGATATGTTTTATAGTTAATTCAAAACCAGTAATTTTTTAAAAGTATAGCGTTCATAGTGAGCTAACATTTAATTTTCATTTGTTCCGTGATTATATATCGGTAGCAGGTTATACGTGTAAGAAGTAATCAATCTGCATCGTATTTCCAGAACTGAAAATTTAAGAACTTTTTTAACAATCTGCAGCTATTGAATATTACAACTTTATCATTATAACATGTAATTACTACATTTTTACGACTTTATTTTAATTGTTAGAACAAATTGCTGTTCTTTAAAAAAGGACTGCAATACGTTGACCATATGCATGTTTTTCTAACTGAAATTCAATTAAGAAAATTTCTAGGTGTAGTGAATATTCAAGTAGGTTTGTTTATAGCGAGCGCAGCGAGGCGGCGCGAAGCGCCGCTCGCGTAGCGAGCTCAATAGACTAACGTGTACGAACGGAGGAAATTCGGGTTGAAATCTGCACATTGTTCCAAGAAATTTTTATCTGACCGCGTGAAAAAATTCTAATATCCCAGTAATCCTTTGCGGTGCATAGCAACCAGAAGGCTAGAACATAGCAACAACTTACTTGAAAAAAATTACAAACAACGTTTTTATGCAATATCCTTGCCACAAAACTATCGTTTGCGTTTTAAGTCTACAAGACTTTTTATTTGACGTCATACTTTCGTCACTTAAACGGCTCGGGTATTTCCGATTTTGTCAGAAACTTCCGAAAAGTTCGGAATCTCGATCCCGATTCCTTTAGAAATAAAATAAAGCTGTGTAAAGGTAACTGCGCTCGCCCCAACGGTCGCACCGTAGAACATATTAGACTAACGTGTAAGAACAGAGGAAAATCGAATTGAAATCTGTACATACGTCAGCCAAATTTCCCTGTGCAACATTCCCAGAATTCCTGCACTACCCAATGTCCTTTGCGTGAATAAATAAATAATAACATAAAGCATAAAAGTCTATCAGTTTGTAGATATCTTTTAAAGAAACAAAAATTAATTCTACAATGTTTTTCAACCTAAATTGCACTAGGTCTATAGCTTCAAACAGACGCTCGGCTGTCTCCATAAGCTCTGACGAGCTGCGTGACGTCGTGTGACGTCACAGCTAGTCGAGATGTCTTGTGCGGCTTGATGTTTAAAGTGGCTGATCAATTTTCAGAGTGTTTTTGATGGTGCAACTGCGCTCATCCCAACGGTCACACCGTATAACAAATTATTTTCTACAATTATCTGCTTACTTATGACTGGTTGTAGTCTCAAAGCAAAATTGTTAATTGTTAGCGGCCTTTAATTTTGTCAGTGTAAAAAATCGGGCTATTTTGATACATGTATACAGCTACACAAGATGGCTTGGACTTGACACTTGTTCTGGATTTATACGGAAGAAATCAATCATAGGAAAAATAGAGATCTGATGGAAGCACAGCTCTATATAGTATACAGATTTTTTGTCCCCCCCCCCCACACACATTAGAAACCGTCGCTACAGACCTCTGTTAAACGGTATTTGGATTGCTGAAATGTTAAATTATTTTGTGAGCCTTGATTCATAAAACTATTGCCTGTGAAAAGTTGTTCTATCTTTTAAAAGCTAGAACTAGTCGTTGAACGACATTTTTCATTCACGTTGTTACGTTACATGTATCTACACAGTATACTGCAAGTTCTTCCTACTTCTACCAATGTTTAGTTTGTATATAAAGGTGTATGTATAAGAGAGAAATTCGGATCCACCAATGAATATGTAAATGCGAAATGCGGATTTGAATGCGCGATTTGCCAATGAATAGCATATTCTAATTCGAATAGGGCGAATTATTCTACGGACAAGTTACCTAAGGTGAGAACTCTCTAAGCTTTCTCGCGCCTGCATAGCCTGTCGCTTGCCCATGGCATCCAGATTAATCTCGCTTATAAAATATATTTACTGCGTGGACCTCAAGGTCCACGCAATCATAATCTGAAGCATAGTCAAAACATTTGTATCGTTTACCGTATACATGTATACATTATGTACATACATGTATAATTGAGTATTTTCTTTTAGATATAGACCTTGTATCTTACGCACATTATTTTTCTTGGTTAAAAAAATACAGAACGCGAGAAAGAGAGAGAGAGAGAGAGAGAGACTCGCCTTGCTCATATACATACATGTATTTATCATATAGTTCTTGTCTCAAATCGTATATTGTCTTATTAATGCAATTAAAATTTAACTTTAAGCACAATATGAAGTACTAAAATGATGTCCATGCACGGGTGCTATTGTACATCCGGAAATTTCTTGAATCTTTCATCCATGCGCTACCTCCTTCACGGAAAAAAATGTGAATAAATTGAACGGCGTGTATAAACCAATGTGGTTTCGGTTAAGCAACGTGTTTTTTTTTTATCATGATCAGCAACCTTTGGGGGGATATAAAACGAAGATAATGTTGAAAAACAGTTAGCAAATATAGGAAGGGGTCTTTTAAAAATATTATTCTCACGGACTTCTGGGCAAGAATGAAAAACCATACTTATGAAAGCTTCCTGAAATACATGTAATAAAGATTACTGTTTTTCAAATCATGACCGGAATAGGTATTCAAAATTTAAAATAGGAAGATGTACCACCGCAAACAAAATGATTGTGTATTTTGGGGGTGGGTTGGGGTGGGGGTGGATGGGTTAGGAATAACATTGTCTTTTTCACTGTCCAGCTGTCCTTCTGTCTCTAAAAGTTTTACCAGAAAACCGGGCTTTAAATTTGTGGAGAATCTGGGAGCTCATACTACTCGATACAAAGATTTCCAATAGTCCTAGGGTGTGTCATAGCATTGGTTCAAGGCAATATTACGGCAAATTCAAGGTCACCAGAGAAAGAGTTCATGTTTTTTCCGGGCCATTTATATAATGTAATCGAGAATATCTGGAAGCTCATACTTGATACAGAGATTTCTTGTGACAAAAAGGTTTTGTATTATTTTGACTCAGAAAATAGTATAAATTCAACCTGGTCTTTCGATTGGTTGCTTATTGTCCTCCGGTTTCAGGTGACTAAAAATAATGCAATTTTAACAAATTCAGGTTCACTGACAAAAAAAGTTGAAAAATTCCTGTCAGGCTTATGAATTTTTAATCACTAAATGTTGTTTGAGATCGAGGGTTTGTCTTGACAAAGATCCAAGGTTATTCCGTAGAGATCAGGGACACGGACAGAAAAAATATTTTCTTTTCTGCGCTACGAAAAACGAGGCCGAGTCTAATTATTTCTGCCCTAGGGATTTTAATAATTTGTTGATAATCAAATTTTACTGTAATATTAATTGTTTTAGGATTAAAAAATCGAATGTTTACCACCCCAATTTCTTAGTGGGCCATCTTAAATGTTGTCAAACTTTACTATTAGACCCTATTGGAATTTGTTGGAAAATCGCAAAATTATTACATTTTTTCCGTATCTTTTGTACTTCTGCCCTAGGGATATATTTTTCATTTAAGTAAATGAAAGTAAATGTAAAAAGTCACCAAACTGCGAAATTTCAAAAAAGTTCACCATCTCGATTGGTCTAGGTAGTAATTACTAAGTTTATTTTTTCGAAGCCAAATACCTCTAAAATTGCCATATTACGCTATAAATACATATCTTTGCTGATGAATTTTCGATGCATACAATTTTTTCCGGCATAAATAGCAATTTTTCGATTGCTAGTATGTTTCTTGGGAAGTTCTGTCATGAGTTTATAGTATAATATCCATGAACGTCTTGAACATACAAGCGAGCCCTGCGTCATTCTTCGGTGTCATGCATTGCTTACAAAATCCGAAAACGGTGACGTTGTTAGAGCCATTTCAACGTTCTTTTTTCAATAATTGTTGTTAAATCAATTTTTCAGATAAGTACAAGTTACAAATAATGTTTATTTTGTATTAAAAGTAAAATTATTTTCAAAGGTGTACTGTCACACAAATGACTGCATGAAAATAAAAAGCTGTGCAAAGTGATGCGCACTCGAATTAGACTCGGCCTCGTTAATAAATAAAAATCATTGGAGGCTTGTACTTAAAACATAGATTATTTATAATTAGAAGTTGTGTCATGACCTTGTTGAAGGCAAATCAAGGTCACTGACAGAGAGAAAAAATGTTCAAGCATAACTTTATAAATAAGAGTCACAAGAGGACCATCCTGAGAATAGAGGTTGTTCTTATAAGAAAGTGAAGTGACCTTGACCCAAGGTCGTCACTTCCTGTCCACAGCTCAGACGAGCTCGGCTCTAGTTGAAAATATTTTTACACACACACATGAGCACTAGAAAGTGAACCTGCATTAATCTACGTCTTGTGATTTTGGCTACTGGAAAACATTCTATCACAAACATGTCATTATTTAAACATAATGTTTACATGTATTTGATTTTCTTAACTTTACCGCTGTTAAACTCAGCCACAAAGAGGTTGTCTTTGGTGTCTACACATAAACCACATGGATCAAAGTTATCAATGTAACGGAGGAACTGTCCGTCCTGATCTAGGATGTGGATACAGTTGTTGTTATTGTCTGCTGTCAGGATCTGACTCTGGCTGTCTGTTGTGATACCACATAGATAAAATGATTTCTTGATGTATCTAAATCGTAGTTTTCCTGCCTGATTAACCACCACTATTGCATGGGCTTCAAAGTCAGCTACACAGATATCCAGGTTCCTATTCTCACTGATGTATTTAAGGTCTCCACATGAATATAGAGGTTCACCTTCACTATCATACTGAATGGTTTGTTTCTCTGTGGAACCAGAGTAACGGATAACTTTTGATTGTTTTTCATCATCACTATTCATGATAACCAGGAGGTCACCAGAGGAGGTACTACAGACATAGTAAGGTGTCCACCCCTGTAGTCTGATCAATTCCTGAATCTGTTTATTCTTCACTATGTTTACAGTTCTTGTACGAGGGTCAGTATAAACTAGATCTCCACTCCTTGTCACTGCTATGTCACATGGTATGTTCCCAGATTTGGTTTTGATTGACTTCAGTTGTTTGCCCTGGAGGTTGTAGAGCATCATGATTTTGTCTTCTCCACGTGTCCAGATTTCTTCATCACTGAGACAGGTAACACTGTATAGTATGTTATACCCAGTGTCTATGGTGGTGATAAGCTCTGGTTCATCAAGCGGTGGTTTGACTGAAGGATAGGTTTCAGCTTTTGATGTCTTCCTTGTGTAGCCATGTTCTTCTGTTGTAATGGATAATGCTGACAGAGAACCAAACATTTGATGGAGTTGTTCTGTGTTGATTTGATGAAGAGAGAAACTTGGTAATGAAACATTGAATGTAGGAGGTAAACGTCTGAATTCAGCATTCCTGGATTTGTATGCAGAGGCTAGGGAGACATCATTTGAATCCAATAATTTCTTCAGATCATGTATGCACTGTTTTACATCATAAATAATCTTCTTGACTTCATTTTCCTGTTTATTTAGAGTAGCCAGGTGTTCAGTTTTCATCTCATCAATTTCAGATTTCTGTTTGTTGACAATGATGTTAATTTCTCTGTGACAGTCTTCTCCTTGTTTGGTGACAGCTGTTGTCAGTTTCTCATAATGTTCTTCGAAGCTAGGTTTTTGCGAGTTTAAATTTGATGCAATTTCTTCATATGTTGGAAGTATTCTTTTTTCTAGTTCTTTCAAATCATTGTTCAAAATTTCTTTAATGAAGTTTGGTTTCTTTAATATTTCTACTAATTTATGTTCATGATGTTTATCAGAGGAGATGCAGGTAGAGCAGACATGAATGTCACATTTCTCACAATAAAGTTCACACTGTTTCTGGTTGTGGTTTGGACATTTTGGGTAGTTACCGTTAGAAGGAGAAGTTCTGTGTTTGTATGGTACAACATTGTGTCTTTTGGATAAATCAGAGAGATGCTCTCCTACACAGGCCTTACACAGGTTAATCTGACAAAGTTCACAATGACTCTGTAATGCAGCTCTTTGACACAGGTCACAGAGGAGTACTTGAGCTCTGTCCTGGGGGTCCATCACTGGGGTTAGGGTTAAAAAACCAGATGACCCTGTATGAAGTAAATGGAGGCACGGGTCATCAACTACAGAAATGTTTCACAATTTAAATAAAAACAATATCAGCGTTATATTTTGTTAGTGAAAATGTAAGACAAAGTCAGTTTAGAAATAACAGGAATAATCTATTTGTAGTTTTAAAATGCCATGTTAACTTTTCTTATGTTTGAAGATATAAATTTGGCAGAAATTTTAAAATTTTATAACAGTAAAAGCAATTTATATATTATGATCAAAACTGGTACTGTATACAGGTGAATTTTCGTCCCCGTTTAATTTTCGCCCCTTTCGCCCCTTTTCCTGATTGGGCGAATTTAAAACGGTGCGAACTCAAATTTCACAGCATAATTTCTTAAACAAAACTATAACTGGTCAAATTTAAAACGGGGCACAATAGTTTTAAGTGCCGACGGACGAAAATAACACGGGGCGAAAATAACCCTGTATACAGTATATGGAAATAACGAACAGTATTCAATGTCCACGTCACCGGTCACGGTAGCCTAGTTGTAGAGCGTTCGCTTCGTGATCGGGAGGCCTGGGTTCGATTCTCGTTCGCGGCGCCGCGTCATACCTAAGTCGTAAACAAAGGTAGTGACTCTTCCTTCGCCAAGCGCTCGGCACTAGAAGTGAAAGTCACGGGTCTTTCGGATATGACCTTAAAAACGTAGGTCCCGTGTCACGGTAGGCGCTGGCACGATAAAGAACCCTCACTGCTCAATGGCCCTGAGTGCCGAGTCTAGGTCTAAATTTGAAGCCCTTCACCGGCATACGGTGACGTCTCCATATGAGTGAAAAATTCTCAAGAGGGACGTTAAACAATATACAATCAATCAATCAATCTCCACGTCCATTAAACAATATACAATATAAGAGCAGAGCAAACGCGGACCTCCGAAACATCAGAGGAGGGATCAAGGGCCATGGAGGAGTGAGCATCCCCTGCCGACTGGTCACACCCACCGTGTGCTCGTTGTCATGATCAGGAAATAACGGATAAAATCCGTCGTCAATTCAGTGTATAAATAATGGACTAACAATTGGTATGAAAAACGTCAGTCAGCATTTGACTCAATGGTCTCTCGTGCATTTCATCAAATGTATTATATATGTACTAGACTTGAGATCAAAAATAACATCTGGAAATGTCTTGCAATATGTTAAATTTCCTAAATATGATCCTTTCTCACCTCTTAATCCAATATGGTATCCCGATAAGTCCGTACATAGTTTATTTCCTCGTCTTCATTCTGAACATTTACCTGTTACCAGGCCATGTAATTTAAATACCTTGGCTATCTAGATCAACTTTTATATATAGAGAGAGATTTACTTTAAAATAATTTAGAATTAAGGCCTGGGATTTTTTATAATTATATGGTCATTAAACCCATGAAAATGAATATTAGAGTCACCGTTTTAGTCTATTTTCTCTATCTCCAGCTTTGTGTCCTTGAAAGTCTTTGAAATATTTTTTATTATTGAATATTATTCAAATTTTGTAGAAGAAATACGTTTAAGTTTACCATAATATGAACTAGATAAGTGTACCTGGTATTTTCAGACCAGTTTACCGACGGGTAAATTCATGCAATTAAGGATATGCGAAATTGAATTGCGACAAAATAAACCCTCAAACAGACATTTTCTTTTAATTGCACGAATGGTCAACATCTAATCTCTATAACTTTATGCTATTGCATATCATAAATTAAAGAATATGTATTTATTAACGAAGTACGAATCTGTTTTCAAAGGCGGGGGTCATTATAATTTCTTGAATCTCCTTACGATTGTAAGGATGCCCTGTGTTTCACTGAATTGAAAATGTGCAATAAAGAATGAATTTTGATTTTAAAAAGAAAATCATTTTTTCTGTATTAATGATTTAATTCCTCAATGAACATTTTAAAGTTCCTTGAACAGCCCTTTGCGAGTCCTTTTCTGTCTTTGTAAGTTTTCTATTGTTCCGTCTTTATTACTCAAAGGCGTCAGAAGCATGGTGGGGGCGTAGCCCCCTTCCCCTTTTTTGCATAAGATAGACATAGTATATGTTAATTAGGCATTGAAGATTTAAGCAAAGATTTGCCCCCCAACTTTCACCAGTTGTTTAAAGATGTTTAAGTGGTAATGTTTAGGCAAAAATCTGTTACCCCCTCCTCCCATGAAATAGGATTTTAAGGTTTAGACAATTGTAATTTTCTGATTTGCTTGTAAATTTCTTTTTCAGGTTTGAAATCTCTCTCTCTCTCTCTCCAATTTGCCTCCGACTCCAATGTTAACACCAATCTCCACACAAAGTCCAGCAGATACCGACAATCTCCACACAAAGTCCAGCAGATAACGACATTCTCAACACAAAGAGTCCAACAGAGAACGACAATCTCAACACAAAGAGTCCAGCAGATAACGACAATCTCCACACAAAGTCCAGCAGATAACGACAATCTCCACACAAAGTCCAGCAGATAACGACAATCTCCACACAAAGTCCAGCAGATAACGACAATCTAAACCAAACAGTCAAGTAGCTAACGACAATAATTACCTCAAAACAAGGAGTCCAGCAGATAACGACAATGTCAACACAAAGAGTCAAGCTGATAACGACAATCACAACACAAAGAGTCCAGCAGATAATGACAATCTCTACACAAAGAGTCCACCAGATAACAGCAATCTAAACACAAAGAGTCAAGCAGATAACGACAATCTCAACACAACGAGTTAGACAGATAACGACAATCTAAACACAAAGAGTCAAGCAGATAATGACAATCTCAACACAAAGAGTCCAACAGATAACGACAATCTCTACACAAAGAGTCCACCAGATAACAGCAATCTAAACACAAAGAGTCAAGCAGATAACGACAATCTCAACACAACGAGTTAGACAGATAACGACAATCTAAACACAAAGAGTCAAGCAGATAATGACAATCTCAACACAAAGAGTCCAACAGATAACGACAATCTCAAAACAAAGAGTCCAACAGATAACGACAATCTCAACACAAAGAATCCAGCAGATATCGACAATCTCAAAACAAAGAGTCCAGCAGATAGCGACAATTTCAATACAAAGATTCCAACAGATAACGACAATCTCAACACAAAGATTCCAGCAGATAACGACAATCTCAACACAGAGAGTCCAGCAGATCACGACAATCTCAATACAAAGAGTCCACCAGATAACAACAATCTAAACACAAAGAGTCAAGCAGATAACAACAATCTAAACACAAAGAGTCAAGCAGATAACGACAATCTCAACACAAAGAGTTAAACAGATAACGTCAATCTCAACACAAAGAGTCCAGCAGATAACAACAATCTAAACACAAAAATCCAGGAGATAACGACAATCTCAACACAAAGAGTCCAGCAGATAACGACAATCTCAACACAAAGAGTCCAGCAGATAGCGACAATCTCAACACAAAGAGTCCAACAGATAACGACAATCTCAACACAAAGAGTCCAACAGATAACGATAGACTCAACACAAAGCGTCCAGCAGATATCGACAATCTCAACACAACGAGTCTAGCAGATAACGACAATCTCAACACAAAGAGTCCAGCAGATAACGACAATCACAACACAAAGAGTCCAGCAGATAATGACAATCTCAACACAAAGAGTCCACCAGATAACAACAATCTAAACACAAAAAGTCAAGCAGATAACAACAATCTAAACACAAAGAGTCAAGCAGATAACGACAATCTCAACACAAAGAGTTAAACAGATAACGTCAATCTAAACACAAAGAGTCCAGCAGATTACGACAATCTCAAAGAAAGAGTCTAGCAGATGATAATCTCAACACAAAGAGTCCAGCAGATAACGACGATCTCAACACAAAGAGTCAAACAGATAACGACAATCTCAACACAAAGAGTCCAGCAGATTACGACAATCTCAAAGAAAGAGTCTAGCAGATGATAATCTCAACACAAAGAGTCCAGCAGATAACGACAATCTCAATACAAAGAGTCCAGCAGATATCGGCAATCTCAAAACAAAGAGAACAGCAGATATCGACAATCTCAACACAAAGAGTCCAGCAGATAACGACAATCTCAATACAAAGAGTCCAGCAGATAACGACAATCTCAACACAAAGAGTCCAGCAGATTACGACAATCTCAACACAAAGGTTCCAGCAGATAAAGACAATCTCAACACAACGAATCCAGCAGATAACGACAATCTCAACACAACGAGTCTAGCAGATATCGACAATCTGAACACAACGAGTCTAGCAGATAACGACAATCTCAACACAAAGAGTCCAGCAGATAACGACAATCTCAACACAAAGAGTCCAGCAGATATCGACAATCTCAACACAACAAATCCACCAGATATCGACAATCTCAACACAACGAGTCCAGCAGATAGCGACAATCTCAACACAAAAACTCCAGCAGATATCGACAATCTAAACACAAAGAGTCAAGCAGATAATGACAATCTCAACACAAAGAGTCCAACAGATAACGACAATCTCAACACAAAGAGAAAAGCAGATAACGTCAATCTCAACACAAAGAGTCCAGCAGATAACGACAATCTCAACACAAAGAGACAAGCAGATAACGACAATCTCAACACAAAGAGTCCAGCTAGTAATGACAATCTCAAAGAAAGAGTCTAGCAGATGATAATATAAACACAAAGAGTCAAGCAGATAACGACAATCTCAATACAAAGAGTCCAGCAGATATCGGCAATCTCAATACAAAGAGTCCAGCAGATATCGACAATCTCAACACAAAGAGTCCAGCAGATAACGACAATCTCAATACAAAGAGTCCAGCAGATAACGACAATCACAACACAAAGAGTCTAGCAGATATCGACAATCTCAACACAAAGAGTCCAGCAGATAAAGACAATCTCAACACAAAGAGTCCAGCTAATAATGACAATCTCAAAGAAAGAGTCTAGCAGATGATAATCTCAACACAAAGAGTCCAG